ATATATATATATATATATATATATATATATATATATATATATATATATATATATATATATATATATATATATATATATATATATATATATATATATATATATATATATATATATATATATATATATATATATATATATATATATATATATATATATATATATATATATATATATACTGTGTATATATATATATATATATATATATATATATATATATATATATATATATATATATATATATATATATATATATATATATATATATATATATATATATATTAGAATTTGATAGAAATGTCCATTTTGTGGCTGACACAATAAATAGGCCTATTGCGTTTTCAAATTTTGATTTTTTTTAATATGTGAACAACATATACCATTAACAACAGAACATCGTCAAATCTTCACGCACTGCAGTGTTTTCAACAGCATAGAAAAATTATACAATAAATAGGCCTGCCCTAAATATTTTTAGATATTTCTGTATATGGAATGTGATCCATAATAAATAAAAATAAGTTTAATTTAAAGCTATGGAAAATTATCCTTATAAATATATTATATGAGCTAATAAAATCTTGTTTTTTTTCTACTACTGATAACATTTTTTTAAATAAAAAAAAATTAGTCAATGTCTTTTTTAAATTTTATTTTATTTTATTTTATTTCTTAACATAAGAGGAGTCATGTTTTAAGACCTGTATATATTCACATTTAGACAACACAACAACAGCAACATCAACAAAACATTAACGTTTAAAGAAATGTTATCGGTACTTTTATGGTAGAAACAAATTAATTTAACTTAAATTATTTCACTTTGTTTTAGTCAAACAGACACTCCATAAATCCAGTTAATCCAGAGAAATGACTAATTTTCATCTGGTCTCTCTTTTTATATCCCGTAATAGTATATGGCAGAAAATCTACTCTCCTTGGTAGCTTTTTCATACAGTGATGGCCATTCCCAGTGTAGCTAATCTTTATATTTCTGCCAGTTTTTCAAGCAGCGGACTGCAGTGTCATCTCTACAGTCCTATTCTAAGAAATGAACACTGCAGTCCAATCCCATCATTCCAAGCTCAGAAATTTAATCAAGATTTATATCCAAGATTTATAATCCAAGCTCAGATTTAATCAAGTGAGTTTTACTCCTGAGATATGAACTGCAGTAACAGCCTCAAGTCTTGAATTTTACCCCGTGACCCAAACCTTCTGTCCTCTGTAGGGCAGAAAACTAAACTAAATAGAAAACCTCCTTTGCATTTTGGTGACTTTAGAATTGGTCAGTGGCAAAAAAAAAAAAAAAACTGACTTCAAAGTGGCCTGTGAAATGCAGGATCTTTAAGGTGCAAATTCCTAAAACTGCCTCATTTTTTGTCACTATCATTCTTTTTTGGTTCAAAGACACATGCTTTCTATGCAAATTCATTCCATCAATGGGATTTTGTTAGTAAATTCTGCCTTTCAAATTGTATATTTAGGCAACTTACCATTTCCAACATGTGAATGATGCTGACCGAAACATGCCTTCAATTTATTAAGGTACCGGGTCCATGACGTCATCGACTTTCGCTTTCAGATTTAAAGGGCTAGCATTGCACCAGACCCTGTAAGTTTTTCGTTTTAAAGTGTAGAATCTTTATTTTATGCACATATGCATCACTTTTGTTTTTATTCTACTGTACACAAGTTATTTACACTTAAATACACAGTATTTTGGATACCCGAGCTGGGTATTTTACATTGGTTCATTTTCATATTTTTCATATGACACATGTACAAGTTATAGCTCAAATGAAAGCTCTTGCTGGTGCTCATACGGTTCTAGCATTATTTTTACTAAACTATATTCACATATCAAACAGTTGCCAAATTAATCGCTGTGTTTCCATGGCACAGAAGTGAAAACAATACATTCATGATCAATAAGCAGCCCCAGATAGCACAGACAGCTGTCATCTCTTACCTTATGCTGTGCGCTTCAGGGCCATTCTCCTCTGTTTTTGAGGTGATGTGCTTAAGTAATCCTTTTATATGTCTGACTTGGTCCAAACACAGTGAATTATGCTTGATCAAACTAAAGAATAGTGAAATATGAAAACAATGATCCCTCCCTGTGGCTTGGACAGCACCTCTCATCAGTTGGAACACAATAACTTTTGCATAGATTATGGTGGAGACATTTTTCTTTTTTCCCATGATTACAGACATGTGCAGCAACCACCAAAATTAATTACAGCACCCTAGATAATAATATGCAAAGAGGGTTTTGCTGTGTACTAGGAATACCATTTAACCGTTCAACTGATGCTATCAGTCGGTTAAAAATGCATCCTTTTGGTTATTATGAGCATCCCTAACTGTTACCTTTGAATTCCATAGTAGGACAAACAAATATTGGTCACACTTTACAATAAGGTTCATTAGTTAATGTTAATTAATGCATTTACTAACATGAACAAACAATGAACAATACATTTACTACTGTATTTGTTCATGTTAGTTAACGTTTGTTAATGAAAATACAGTAGTTTATTGTTAATTCATGTTAACTCATGGTGCATTAACTAATGTTAACAAGCATGACCTTGGAAGTTAATAATGCATTAGTAAATATTCAATTATGATTAATAATTGCTGTACATGTGTTGTTCATGATTAGTTCATGTTAGTAAACGCATTAACTAATGAACCTTATTGTAAAGTGTTACCCAAATATTAATGTAGTCGATGATAACAGGTGTTCAGCTTTCTTCAATGTATTTTCTTTTGTGTTTAAAAGTCAAACAGGTTTAAAACAAGTAAAGGGTGAGTAAATTAAGGGTTCGGATTAGTTCACCTAAAAATGAAAACTATCCCATGCTTTTGTTTGATTTATTTTATTAAAAGCATTGACAATTTTTCCTTCATTGTCTTGAACTATTTTGTTTGAGAAATGACCTGTAGAAGTGTCGATGTGAAACTGGAGCTGAATTCGCATCACGAGCACAGCTGTTTTTCTTTTTAAATTGTTTACTTTATTTGAATTAGTGTTTTCATCCAGGGTGTCGACTGTTATAGTCACTAAATCGGATGTATTTTTTGTGGTGTTGTTGTGTCTGTAGATATTTGTTGGCGAGATCTCCATGTACATCATGAAGTCCACCAGAGAAGCTCTCCTCGCCCAGGAGAAAACCATTGTTACTGGAGAGTGTTGCTATCTTAACCCTCTCATCCGCAGAATCATCCGCTTCATCGGTGAGTCTTGCCTTTTCAACAATGACAAACATATATGCTTCTTTAGAGGTTTAAATTAAATTAGTTTAATTAAATTAATTCATTCGTTCATTGTCCGTTCATTGTCCGTTCATTGTCGTTCGTTCATTGTCCATCCATCCGTCCGTCCGTCCATCCATTTATCCATCCATTTATCCATCCATCCATCCATCCATGTTCGTTTGTTCGCTGTCTGCCTGCCTGCCTGCCTGCCTGACTGTCTGTCTGCCTGCCTGTCTGTCTATCTGTCCATCTATCCATCCATCTTTGTTCAATGTCTGTCTGTCTATCTTCGTTTGTTCGTTCGTTCATTGTCTTTCCGTCTGCCTGCCTATCCATCCATCCATCCATCCATCCATCCATCCATCCATCCATCCATCCATCCATCCATCCATCCATCCATCCATTCATCCATCCATCCACAGTATCTATCTATATTAATTTGTTTGTTTATTTGTTCGTTCGTTGTCTGTCTGTCTATCTTTGTTCGTTCATTGTCTATCTGTCCATCTATTCATCCATCCATCTTCGTTCATTCGTTGTCTGTCTGTCTATCTTCATTTGTTCGTTCATTCATTGTCCATCCATCCATCTGTCTGTCCGTCCATCCATCCATCCATCCATCCATCCATCCATCCATCCATCCATCCATCCATCCATCCATCCATCCATCCATCCATCCATCCATCCATCCATCCATCCATCCACAGTATCTATCTGTTCGTTCGTTGTCTGTCTGTCTATCTTCAATTGTTTAATCGTTCATTGTCTGTCTGTCTGTCTATCTGTCTGTCTATCTATATATCCATCTTATCCATCCATCCATTTTTGTTCGTTTATTCGTTGTCTGTCTGTCTATCTTCGTTTGTTCAGTCGTTCATTGTCTGTCTCTCTGTCTGTCTATCTATCTATCTATCTATCTATCTATCTATCTATCTATCTATCTATCTATCTATCTATCTATCTATCTATCTATCTATCTATCTATCTATCTATCTATCTATCTATCTATCTATCTATCTATCTATCTATATATCTATCTATCTGTCTGTTTGTCAGTCTATGTTCATTCGTTCATTGTCTGTCAGTCTGTCTGTTTGTCAATTTTTGTAATCATGAAACTTTTGGTCTGTAATATATATATATATATATTCATTTAAATATTAGGTGCTGTTATTGTCAGAACTATATTTCATTTTACTTTATTTTAATTAATTGTTATATCAAATGTTATCATTTTAAAATAATTTACAGTAGGTAAAGTTGTTTATGTGTTTGGACGACAAATTGATAGTGCTACATGAAAGGCTCTTCAACATTATTAATACTAATACAAAAAGAATGAATAAATGAATGAATGAACGAACGTCAATACTTTAATGGGAGCTCTCAAAACCTAAAGAACAGCACAGATGCAATAAATCTTTGACTTGATTTGCCTGGAGATTTTCAAAACTGCTGAGCTGTGGCTGTTTTATTGACAAGGAGCAGACAAGACACACAGCAGCACCTCCAAAACACATCAATTTTAAATGTTTCCTACAGACATAATGACAAACACAATCAGCAATGCTTTTCCAAGAAAACTCACAGCATACCTTTTATACATTGGTATTTACAGGATCTTGGTTTTAGTGCACTTCTGCAGCTTGCCAAGCTAGAGCATCTGAGCGTGATTTGAAGTGAAATTAGAAACATGTGGAGAGCTTGATTTACTGGATGCGATGCATAATGCAGTGGAGACGCTGGTAATGGTGTCCTTTGAGGCTTGGCATCGCAGTCGTGTGGACAATCAAACTGCAGCCTTTTCACAGTCTGCAGCAATTGTGTCCACAGTGGTTTCCAACCATCCTTTGTCTTTCTGTCTCCAGCAGAGGCCTTCTTTCCAGTTGCTTGATTTTTTTTGTTTAATACTTTTTTCTAAAACCAGTACTGGCAAATTGGTAAAGTCAAACAAATAAACAAACAAACAAATAATTAAATAAAAAAATAAACAAAAAACAAACAAATAAAAAGATGAATGAATAAATAAATAAATACACAAATAAATGAATGAATAAATAAACAAAGAAACAAACAAATAAATAGATGAATGAATGAATGAATAAATAAATAAATAAATACACAAATAAATAAATACACAAATAAATGAATGAATAAATAAAGAAACAAACTAATAAATAAATGAATAAATACACAAATAAATTAACGAGTAAATAAACACAGAAACAAATAAATAGATGAATAAATATATAAATAAATAATACACAAATAAATAAATACACAAAAGAATGAATAAATAAACAAAGAAACAAACTAATAAATAAATGAATAAATAAATAAATACACAAATAAATGAATGAATAAACAAATAAATAAATACACAAATAAATAGATTAATGAATAAATAAATAAATAAATAAATGAATACACAAATAAATAAAAACACCAATAAATAAATACACAAATAAATGAATGAATAAATAAAGAAAGAAACAAACTAATAAATAAATACACAAATAAATGAATGAATAAACATATAAATAAATGCACAAATAAATAAATAGATGAATAAATAAATGAATAAAAACACCAATAAATAAATACACAAATAAATGAATGAATAAATAAACAAAGAAACAAACTAATAAATAAATGAATAAATAAATACACAAATAAATGAATGAACAAACAAATAAATAAATACACATTAAATAGATAAATTAATAAATAAATAAATACACAAATAAATAAATACACAAATAAATGAATGAATAAATAAACACAGAAACAAACTAATAAATAAATGAATAAATAACTAAATACACAAATAAATGAATGAATAAATAAACAAAGAAATAGATGAATAAATAAGTAAATAAATACACAAATAAATAAACAAATAAATAAATACACACACAAATGAATGAATAAACAACAAAAAACAAAGTAATAAATAAATAATATTATGTTATATATATATATATTCATTCATTCATTCATTCATTCATTTTTTTTCAGCTTTGTCCTTTTATTAATTAGGGGTCACCACATATATATTAAGGGAAAACAAAATACAAAACTACACAGTCCTGTGTGGAAAAAGTCTTTGTCCCCTATACTTCATAACTGGTTGGGCCAGCCTTAGCAGCAACAACTGCTAATAATTCTGACTTTGACTGTATATTCAAAACCAACCACAATCTACATTTTAAAGTATGATGGCAAAACAAATTAATCAGTATAAACATACATTTTTTTTCTCGGCCTTAAAATACATTGTAATGTAATGCACTCTCAGACACACAATTTCATGGTGAAATAAGCGGATTTCCATCCCTTTCAAGATCATAAAAATCTCTTGTAGAACGTCAGTGTGTGAGAGTTTGCTAAAGGACATCATAATTACTTGCATAAGATATTGAGCTTAGTAGAGTAGTTTTGTTTGTGCCAAATGGTGTATGCAAATGTAGCTTTTGCTCTAGTGGGCATTTGTAATTACTTCTGGATGAAGATAAAAATAACATTGTTCCATCAAGTCCGCATTGGTATTCATAGGCGTCCTCCAAACCCTTGTCTGATCTTCCCTTTATATTCAGAGCCTTGATTAGAAGCAACAGGCTGAATACATATTTTGAAATTTTTATTTTATTTTATTGTTTGTTTGTTTTTTTACTGAATATTTTCAAGCACATACAGAAGGGAAAATAAGTATTGAACACGTCATGTTTTTTACTTGGGAATAATTTTTCCAAAGAAGCTGTTAACATGGGATTGAATCAGATTTGGGTAAAATACAAATAAAAAATAAAATAAAACAAAAATGTCTGAGAAACGAGTTGTGTAATAACAATGGAATGACACAAGGAGTAAGTACTGAACTACTAAAATGTATTTGATACTTTATATAACATATGCTTTGTGGATGGCAGCTTAAAGACGCCTCTCAAATGGAGATTGAAATCACATGAACTGCTCAGGTGTGATTTATTTTTCACAGACTTTAAGAGAGATACAATCTTGATGGTTTCTTTGGGTTTTGTCTATCGAATCTGATCTTTATTCTGTATTTTTTATTGGAGTCAAGTCAGGTGATTGGGTGGGCCATTCTACAGCTTGATTTTCTTTCTCTGAAACCATTTGAAAGTTTCCTTGGCTGAGTTTTGGATCATTGTCTTGCTGAAATATCCACTCTGGTTTCATCCTGGTAATGTAGATGTTGGACTGAAGCTGCTAATATTAATTTAAATTGGTCGAAAGGGAAGGGGGTTACCAAAAAAACTACTGAGAGATTTCAGCTGCTGTCTGGGCTTTCACTTTCTTTCTACGCCTTCTTTTCTTCATGTGTTCAATACTTTTTTTTACCTGTGTCATTTTATTTTGTTATGCATAACTTTATTTGTAAACTAATTTTTTTTTAATCAAAAGTTTATATGTTATATTAAAATATTACTATATCATATTATTTTTCAACAGGAGGTAAACACGAATTACTTCCAAAAACTTCAGATATAGTCTGTGTTAATAAATGCAAGGCTATTCATGAAATCCAGCCATAAAACGGTATGACTATGTTTCAGATGACTGTTCTAGAGCCTACAGCTAATCAATCTGTCAGATTCTGGAGTACATTATAGCTCTGAAGAAAATTCTAAAAGATAAATGATCCAAATTAAAACAAATGCATTTATAGAGATGGTGTATAACTTCAATATATAACTACAATTAAGTGCACACAGCAAGCCATATCATCTGATAATTGTAGGAAATAATCCCAAAAGGCAATTGACTGTTTAAAGGAACATTAACCAAAACAAAAATACAATGTATATGCCGAGTTCAGCGGCTAATCAGCCGGAATCAGCTGAGGTGACGAGACATCGAGCAACAAGACCTAGCTGTCACTCAAGTGGCCACGCCCTTAATTATACAGACTTAATATAACATAATAAAAATGATATGGATGAGTTGTAAAAAAATTCACCTCTTCATAGTTTTCATGAAGGGTAATCATAGCTATATGCACTAATGCCATCTTTTGTACCAGGCTGTAAACATGTTTTTATCAGCTGTAAAATTGGCCAATTTACCAATGCAGTCAGAAATCATCTGGATTTCCTGGGGCCAGCCCTCCAACGCGATTCGATGAATTGTTGTTTTGGTTACTTCTGTATTGGCTTTACGAGGGAGAGCGGGAGGTTGCCGCCTGCCGTAAATACACACATTAATTAGTTTGTTTATATCCTAATATTTGTATTTTTATGGTTATTTTAACTACTGGCCAGAAGGTTATGGTTGAAAATGACTCATCTGGCCTATTTACAGTAATGTATTTAAAGGAGTTACCCAAAAATGTAAATTAGGTCATTTATTATTCACATTCAAACATTAGTTCGTCTTCAGAACGCAAATGAGTACATTTTTAGATGAAAGAGGAGAGCTCCATCATCCTCCATAAACAGAAATGGAGATGTTTGAAGTCCAGTAAACTAACCAAAGGTAATGTCAAATAAAAGTCAATAAAATGGAAACATTTAAAGCAGTTTGTTTTAAATGCATTGAAAACACTGTCCTCTTAACAAAAAACAAACAAGCAACAATCTTCTAAATATTTTTTTTTTCTTAAAGCCATGTAAGCAAGATGCTACATGACAAACAAGCATTACGTAAACGTAAAAAGTAAAATGGTCAAATGAGGTTGCAAGATGTTTCCAGTAGCTAGATGTTTTTGTAAACTACACTAAACAGTCTTTGATGTTTAGGAAATGTATCGATAGACATTGAACGTACAAAAACAAGTGTGAACTGATGTTGTTAAATTTTCAGAGCACCGATTGGGAGCCACAAGCGGAATATATTTGTTGACGTTTTTTGTTTGTTTTTTTTCTTTTGCTGCAGGTGTCTTCGCGTTCGGCCTGTTCGCCACCGACATCTTTGTCAACGCTGGCCAAGTAGTGACTGGCAATCTGGCGCCGTACTTTCTGAACGTCTGCAAGCCAAATTACACTGGACTGGATTGTCACTTCAGTCATCAGTTCATCGCCAATGGGAACATCTGCACGGGGAACCAGGTGGTCGTGGAAAGAGCCAGAAGGTCCTTCCCATCCAAAGATGCTTCCCTCAGTGTCTATTCAGCCGTCTACGTCACTGTAAGAGCCATCATGGATTATTAATCTAAAAAAGACATTTGCTCTATACCAGGGGTGCCCAAACTTTTTCTTATGAAGGTCCAAAAGCCAAATATCATTAATAGCAGTGGGCCGAAGATAAACTATATGACATTAGTTGTCATGAGAAGTTTTTACAATTTATTTCCTAATATTAAAAAAAAAAAAAAAAAAAAAAAAACATTAGGGTATAATGACATCTATTACTTCTTATCCAGAAAATAAATATAAAAATATCAAATATAAAAATAAAACATAAAATAAAATATACAAATTTCTAATAAAATTTCAATAAAATCTAAAATAAAATAAATATAATAATATAATATTAATATAATATAATATTAATATAATAATAATATAATAAAAAATAAAAAATATCAAATAAAATATCAAATATAAAAATAAAATAAATTAAAACATTAAATATATATTTAAAATATAAAATAAAATATTGAATATAAAATAAAATATAAATACTTTAAAAATAAAATACATTATACAATAAAATATAAAAATATCAAGTAAAATAATACAAAAAAAAATCTAATATAAAAATATAATAAATTAGAATATTATATATTTAAAAATCAAATTTAAAATAAAAT